GCTCTGTCCACAGCTCCAGAGCTGCTCCAGGATCTGGGGTGAGGAATGTGTCCTTCTGTCTCCTTGACCCTGCTTGCAGCTTTGGAGCTGTTCCAGAAACCAGGATGAGGGATTGATTCCTCTTCACTGAGTCTCCGTCCCACGGAGAGCTCTGGAGCTGCTCCAGGAGCCAGGATGTGGCTCTGATCCCTGTGTCCCTTTCTGGGACACGTTGTGGTGCAGGAGCCAGGCACTTCCGCCGTCTCCCAGTGATCCCAGTCCAGCAGGGGCTGCTCGGAGTGGGATTTATCCCCGTGCTGCTGCTGCTCCCTCTGTTACTCCATTCCCTCTGTGCCTATGTGCTTGGAGTTGTGGGATCATGGAGCTCCTGAGACCCTCGGAGCGCCTGCCTTCTTCCTGGCACATCCCTCCTCCTCCTCCTCCTCCTCCTCCTCCTCCTGCGCCTCTGGAGACGCCGGGAAGGCTCCTGGGAAGCTCCTGCCCATGCACACGAAGGGGGCTGAGCCAGGATTGCTCCAAACCCACCTTTTCCAGGCTGTTTTCCATCCGGGAGCACCGCGGGCCGGCCTGGCCGTGCCGATGGGCGACGGCTCCCGAGGTGACCCCGCGTTGCTGTGGGAACGGGAATTTGGAAATTCCTGCCTCCCTGCACGCCACCTTGATCTGACCACATGGAATTATGGACACATTCCCAGATCGGCCTCTTCCCGCTGCTCCTCTGGCATCAGCCCGGCGGGGCTGGGAGTGCCGGGGGCTCGGGGAGCAGCGGGAGCAGCGGGAGCAGCGGGATCCCTCCGGAGCGGCCGCAGTCTCCAAGGAGACTGCAGAAAGGCAGCGGCCGCCCGCCGCGCCGCCGGAGGGATCCGCTGGCAACCCGCCCGTGCTCAGCTCCTCCCGAATTCCGGAGCTCCCGGGGCCCCCCTCAGCGTGGGCTCCGTGCCCCCGAAGCCAGGGTGTCCCTGTGCATCCCTGCATCCCAGGTCACATCCCTGCATCCCAGGTCACATCCCTGCATCCCAGGTCACATCCCAGTGCTCCAGGTCACATCCCTGCATCCCAGTGTCATAACCCTGCATCCCAGTGTCACATCCCTGCATCCCAGTGTCACATCCCAGTGCTCCAGTGTCACATCCCAGCGCTCCAGGTCACATCCCTGCATCCCAGTGTCACATCCCTGCATCCCAGTGTCACATCCCTGCATCCCAGGTCACATCCCAGCACTCCAGGTCACATCCCTGCATCCCAGGTCACATCCCAGTGCTCCAGTGTCACATCCCAGCGCTCCAGTGTCACATCCCAGTGCTCCAGTGTCACATCCCAGTGCTCCAGTGTCACATCCCTGCATCCCAGTGTCACATCCCTGCATCCCAGGTCACATCCCAGCGCTCCAGGTCACATCCCTGCATCCCAGGTCACATCCCAGCATCCCAGTGTCACATCCCTGCATCCCAGGTCACATCCCAGTGCTCCAGGTCACATCCCAGCATCCCAGGTCACATCCCAGTGCTCCAGGGTCACATCCCTGCATCCCAGGTCACATCCCAGCGCTCCAGTGTCACATCCCAGCACCCCAGTGACACATCCCAGCCCCCCGAGGTCCCGAGATTGCAGCCATGTGGCTGCTCTGTGTCTGTCCCTGGCTGTTCCCATGGATTGGGATCAGCATTTGGAATCACCTGCGTCTTTAGGGCACATCCAGGGTTTGTGGGGCGGGGTTCTGCTGCCAGATTTCCCTGGCAAAGGTGAAATTCCTGGTCCTCAGAGGAAGGGCTGCTTCCCTCTGCTTCCTCCTCCTCCTCCTCCTCGGGCTGGTCCTGGCTCTGGGTCTGTGCCAGCCCTGCCCGGGGCACCCAGACTGGCAGGTTTTGTTTCCTGTACTGGTCCCAGTTGTGCCCCACTGGGGTCTCCCCGAGGTCCCTCTGGCCTGGGATGCTCCCGTTAAATCCCAATTATTTCTCCCTGGGTTTCATCCTTCCGTAGCTCCGTCATGTTTCCATCCCTGGCGCTGTCATTAATTACCTGGCAGTGCAATTAATGATGGGTTTGCTCCTCCCTTCCATACCAGCAGTGAAAATTTTGGAAAAAACATCCAAGAATTCCACAAGGGACCAAACCCACCCTCGCTGGGGCTCAGGGTGGGGACCCCCATCCCAGCTGCTATTCCAGAGATGGATCCAGGGCTCAGGGAGTGTGCACACATCTGTTTATGGATCAAGTGTTAGCATGGACATCTCTCCATGGGCACGTCTGTGGAATGTGTCAGGAGTTACAGAAAATCCATGGGAATATTTGTAACTTCTGACATTTATTGAAAATCCACCAGTGGAGGGCTCAGGCCTAGGGACAGGGACAGGAGGAGAGGGAATGGCCTCAGGCTGGGCCAGGGGAGCCTCAGGGGGGAACCAGCAGGAATTTCCCCATGGAAAGGGGCTCAGGCCTTGGCGGGGGAAATTTGGAGTCCCCATCGCTGGAGGTGTCCAAGGAATTCCTGGATGTGGCACTCAGGGGTCCGGGCTGGGACAAGGAGGGGATCAGGCACAGCTTGGACTCGGTGACCTTGGAGGGCTTTCCCAGCCTCAGGGATCTGGGATCCATATAAATTCCAGGAACATGCATACCTTTATTTAATATAAAATATATAAAATGTGTAAAATGCACTTAGGGCTGATTCCAGGAAGGCTTTTCCCCTCAGTGCCCCTTTGTGGGCTCTTCCACCCCCTCATCCCTGCCGGAGCAGGAGCGCCGGGATATCACAGCTCCGTCGGGAATCCCATCCCGACCTGCCGAGCGCTAATTGCTGCTCCCACGGCTCGGGATGGAGGAGATGGGAAGTGACAGACGGAAAACAGAGTGTGATGGGATCCTGCAGCCTTTCATCTCCAGCCTTTCATCTCCCAGTGCTGGCTGAATCCCGGGAGCGACGGCCGGGAACGTGCCCAGCGCCCGGCTGTGTCCGGGAGCGTCGCGGATCGGGATGGAGACGGATCTCCCGCTGCCCCACGGGTGCCACGGGGTGTGGGAACAGCTGGAAAGCCTCACCTGGATGGTTGGAATCTTCATCAGGATAGCTGGGAACTCGCTGGGATGGCTGGAAACTCTCTGGGATGGCTGGAAACGCTTACTGGGATGGCTGGAAAACCTCACTGGAAAGGCTGGAAACTCACTGGGATGGCTGGAAACTCTTACTGGGATGGCTGGAAACTCTTACTGGGATGGCTGGAAACTCTTATTGGAATGGCTGGAAACGCTTACTGGGATGGCTGGAAAACCTCACTGGAAAGGCTGGAAACTCACTGGGAAGGCTGGAATCTCTCCCTGGGAAGGCTGGAATCTCCCTGGGAAGGCTGGAATCTCTCCCTGGGAAGGCTGGAATCTCTCCTTGGGATGCAGCCCCCATCTGGGGCTGCCAACATGGGATGCTCCAATCTTTGGGATGCTCCAGGTGCCTGTGGATGCAGGGAAGCTGCTCCCGAGGTGCTGCCAGCACCCAGCGCTCAGCCCCCGAGCTGAGGGTGCTGGGGGTTTGGGATCCACCCTGCCGATGGAGCAGGAGATGGAGATGGAGATGAGATGGAGATGGAGATGAGATGGAGATGGAGATGAGATGGAGATGGAGATGGAGATGGAGATGGAGATGGAGATGGAAATGGAGATGGAGGTGGAGGTGGA